CTGATCAACAAATGACATATATAGGTGAACAACATTGAAAGGTTACTATTTGTTACTTAATACATATTTTAGAAAACTAAAACTGCTTTGTTTATTGAAATGATGGATAAAAATGTAATTATTAGTTGGAATGATAATGAAGTTCTTAAAGCCATAAAATCATATGATGCTCAACTACTTAAAAAAATTATTACAACAGGAAAGTTCTCTATTCTGTTTGAAATGACTATTGACAACAAATTTTTGATAAGGATCTCATTATTTCCAATATTTCAATAACATTTCAATGATATATTAAGACAATTTTTCTGTGGTTATATTCTTATGTCAAAATATTCCATATAAATGCACTTGAGATGATGCTATTTAAAACAAATATTTGTATTTATATTTTGTTAAGGTTTTTTCCTATAATTTTTCTTTTGAACTGAATAATAATTTGAATATACTAATATAAACTATAAAGTTATTGCATAGAAGCAACAAAAAATATTAACAATTAAGAAAACCACCTTCCACTTGTTAAAATACATAGATAGATTCAAATAAAATCTATTTATAAATCAAAACAGCATAAAAGTTTAAGTTCTGTTTACCATTTACCAGTACTTTTACTATGTCACAAATTTTCCCAAATCAAAACAACCATTAATCAATCCATTAAAATATCAATCTTATCTTAACACTGAAAAACAAAACCAAATATAATGACAGAGAAGTGGAAAATTTTGACAACTATACTGATATTTACTTCACAGGAAGTTGTTAATCTAAAATGCATTTTTTTCACTTGAGAATGAAATACATTAACTGTGAAGTTATTAAAAAGTATTTAAACTATAGTCATGTTAAACCTTCTGAAAAACAATTTAAATGAATTTGTATATATAATGAGTCTCAATAAAAAACAATTTATAACAACTAAACAACTGGGAAAACACATGTTTGCTACACACACAGTTTTATTGAGCAAAAGATTCAAAAACAATTGATTACTCAAGATCAGCAGCTGTTACAGTGTGAGAATGTTTGTCATTAGTTCAAAACGTGTTGAAAGTTACATAAAATGCATTAAAATCAAGGAAAAAAGCAAAAAGATTTCACAAATCAAACTAGTGTGGGTGACCTTGCCTCAGCTTGAGTTGTCATGTCTACTGTTGACTGCTTATGAAATTTCCTGCAGAAATAAAAACCCTAGGAGAAAATTCATAGCTTGCATGTTCTATTTCTACTGGAAGTGACTTTTTGTGCATTTTCCGATTTTTGGGTCATCCTCAAATTGAGCCAATCAAAACAATATACAATATCATGCATAGATTTGAACAAATTTAATACACTTTTGTTGGCTAACAAAAATTATGAAAAACAATTAAAATGTAGATAAAAATACTAAGAAATTTAACAGCTGTAGTAATAATTAGTATTCATCATTCTGTTAAAATGTGCATCATTTATTATTTGCCACAATTTGTTTTTTTTAAACAGTCATAATTTGAGATATATTTATTCAGTTTAAAATTCTCATATTTGGATCTATCATGATAAATGATAATCTACACAATATAATTTTCTTTAAAAAAGGAAATTCATAGCACACAAATTATAATTTAATAATTGCTTAAATACATTAAGTACTTATATATGCAAAGTGTTTTAGTAATTAGTATTTAATTTATACAAAAATTGCAAAATTAATACTTTTATTAACAAAGTCCATATAAATTTTAAATATTTATATAAAATGATTTTAATATATTACTATTCTCCGGTGTTGTGGTAAAGATGTGTAAAATGATTTTACTTTGAATTATAGATCATCATCAATATTAATGGACATTTCATCATTGTAAAAGAGTAAATTCTAAAATCTAATATTTAAAATTCAGTGTGGATAGTTAAGATAGGTCAACGAGATCTTATTGAAAATAGATAAAAAAAAATTATAAATCATCTTGCAAAACTAATAAATTCTACAAACTATTATGAATGAAAAATAATGATTAATAAAGAATAAATAGATTAATGTTTCTGTATTTATCCAGAAAATTGATGTTTTTCAACTAACTAAAACTGATATCAGATAACAAAAGTATCTATTAACATTTGTCATTTTAATCAAAAACAGATTGTATAGTATTTTGTGCATTATTTATTCATAACACTAAACATATATTCATAAACTAAACTCAAGCTCTAAAGTTCATTAATCACAAATTAGAATTATTTATAATCTAAGATTTTGATAGTGAAATTTGTTAAAGCAATCTAATTCATGCATCTATCAATACAATTTATTGTTAAAATTTTTCATTTAAGTAGAAAATATTGACACAGATGAACATAATCAATTGTAATTATACCCAATCATTAATAAAACTATTTATTAAAAAAAAAATAGTAGTTTTCTTTCCTTCAATTATGATATACATTATAATCAGCAAAAACTGAAAATAAGAATAGAATGTATGTAATACTCAATAAACTAATGTGTTTCTATAATCCAACAATATTCAATTTTCGAAAAAGTCAAGAAATCTAAAATAATTATTATATAATTGAGAATTCTACCAGTAGATTTTATTTACATTTTAAAGTAATTTATAATTATTCAAATGCAATTACAATAAAATAAATTAAACTTTAAAATTTAGTCATCTTAATTTATTTAGCTCAAAGTATTTCTGATTATCTTATTCAATTTATAAATTAGATATATTTTAGAAATCCTTATGCTAAATTTAATTTGTATAATAAGATTAAAAGTATGTAAAGAGTTTAAAATTAGTTGACTAATTATTTTGATGATAGTTTAATAAAGCAATAAATAAGATTACAGATTTAAATATGTATGTATAAAACATACATACAAATTTATCTAATTTCTATTTCTGAAAATAAATATAAAAATTTTGATAGTCATTAGTAATCTTTAAGATCAATAATAAATGTAAACTTATTATTATTAATCATGTATTCATTACAATCAAAGAAATCTCATTCTAGTATACTAAAACGAATTTTTCTTCAAGTATGTATATAATCATCAATGTATCCAAGAATTAACTTAGAATTAAAATTATAAAATTTCATAATCCAAACAAAAACAATATAATTTAACCATCAACAGTATCAAATTAGAATAGCTACTTTTTGTTGCCATTTACAACTATTTTATATAACATATATTTCAGCATTTTCAAATCAGATTTGAAATAATGAGGTGCATTAAACTGAATATACTCTTCATGTAATTAAAATAAGTTTTGTTAGATCAATAATTTGCTTATGTAAGGCAAATGTGATCAAAGAAGTTGCTAAATAAAAATAGAAAATTTTTCACTACTGATAATAAACATACTTTATCATACTTTTTAGTAACTATTATTGATAATATAGGATGTGGATATTTGGCAGTTAAAAATTTTTAAACAAAAGGATAGATAATTTTGAAAAATTTCATTTGTAGTATATAATATAAATCTGTTATTTACTAGCAAAACTATAGGCATAAGAAATATGCCTCTAGTTTTTAGTTATTATATATGACAAAAAATAAAAACACAAAAATGCACATTTTAAAATATAAAGTTTTCAGTTATTGATCAATTAATTGTTATGCAACTAATATACAATCAAAATTTTATTTTTTCTATCATAATACTACTCTGCGTTAAATTATTAATGAAACAAAAAATCTATTTAGTATAAGGGGGCAATTTTACTTAAATATGAATAAATAAAAATCATGTTATTTCTTGTAAAGAATGTGTTTTGAGTATTTTAGCTGAATTCTTTTAATTTGAATGAATCTGTTTTCATTATATTTCAAGCTTCCATCATAATTGCTTACTTGTTTTTACTTTTATTTATCAGTATAAACATCTACCACAAATATTTTCAAAAAATTCTTATTTCAAAACACTCCAATTGTATTAAGGATTTTAAAAAATGTAAATGAAACAACAACTAGATACCAGAAAAAAAAGCATACAGACTTTATACTTACTGAAGTATTTAGTTATAAAAAATAACTTTGATGCATAATGAAATATAATTAGTATTTAATGTATTGCCGTAAAAAATTGTGATTTAAACTAGCTATTTCACTATATATAAAATTTCCAAAATCTAAAACAAAGAAGTAATAGTCAACATTGTTAAACTTTTATCTGAATTTATATTAAAAACTTATATATTCATAAAAATCTCACTTAAATCTCAAATATAATTTGAATAAATAAAGTATTTTATAATTAAACAAACAGAAAAATCTAAACTAATTGATTAATTAAGACTTGAAAAAATGAAGTTCCTTAGCAAATCTTAAATTATAATTTAACACTATAATAAATAATTTTCAGTCAGTATACATTAATAAATGAAAAATTTAAATTTGCATAATACAGGAATGTGCAATCTTATAAAAGCAGGTGCTCAAAAAATATATTTTATTGGTTACATGCCAAATGAGGGTTATCTACTTAGAAAAGAATCTTGAGGTTCAAAGTTTCTGGAAGGCAGATCTCATTTTAAGCCCACAGGTTGCACATGCCTGATGTAAGATAATCTAAACAATGAGAAAAAAAAAGCAGAAATATTTATTTTTTAGTAGTTAAAAACACTTTTATTAAATAACTATTCTAAAAGCACATTTGAATAATAACTGAGACTCCATTATTAACTTGGAGCCATATTAATTTGGCGAATTAGTACCACTTGGTGCAGATAACAATAGAAATCACACAAGGTTCTAATATGAATACTCGATATAATTAAATAAATTCTAACACGACTAAACAGTTTGAAAGGCAAACCAAAACGTTAATTAAAGTTTGAAGAATATAAAAAGCCAAAAACACTCGAGACACTCCAACAGCACTTCTCGCTGAGAGAAGGAAACAATGATGCACGTGACACCACCATCACCAAATAATGTCTAAAGAATGTTTTTCACCTCCGTAAACTTTTATAAGTAGATTCGTGTAATCATAATTACTTACTAAACATCAAATCAATCAATCAATCAATTGAACCTGGTTAACCCTTCTACATCCGAAGATGCTTCATTGTGAATGACGTCGTCGCCTTTACCTGATGAATAAACCTCGAATAATGTTAAGCTTGATTTGTGATTATTAATAGTTGTTAATAATGAATATCATCAAATAAAACGATCAAAAATGTCACATATCCTCACAAATTCATTTACTGATCAACGTTTCATCTTTTTACCTTTCGGGAAAACGATCTCTTCTTCGGAAATATCACGTGACTCCGACGTTGTTAATTGAACGCGAACGGTTTCCAATTGAAAATCACTTTATTAATATCTAACTTTAAAAAATTTTAGCGTTAAGGTAATTTTTACGTATTTATAAATAATAGTTAAACAGTTTATTGCAATTTTTCACATACATTTACTTTTTTATTACAAATATGTATTTATTCGATACTAGAGGCGTTACTGTCGGATAATGTTTTAATATATTTGAAATTTTGAATTTCGGTTGAAATTCTAAATTTGTTAAAAATTACTTTTTATTACTATAAATATATTTATTGGTAATAATAATATAATTTGAAAACGATTAGATAATAATTAGTAAATGTTACTTCATGCGTTTTTGGTTCTATAGTATTATCTGTATTAAATGCTTAATTTCAGGTAGCCAACTGTTTAAATCTACCACGAAGGAACGTTTTCGTCCTGTTTTAGGACATCTTCAACTTCTTAACAAATACAAGTCACTGTTCAAACTGAATTCGAACATTTTATATCGTTTTTGACGGATTGAACCATATTTCAAACTATACATTTTCGTTCTAATTTGTTAAAATCAAGCCCCACTCATGTGCAGTATTCTCGTATGATCGCTTCCCAGATCAGTTAAAAGTATTAATTTTTCACACATCAAACTGCCTTCTTCATTCTTCTGTCTTGAAAGCGTTTAATTAAATCCTCCCAATTTCTTGTTTCTAATACTCCCGTCCACCTGGTTTCCAGTTTTTTCGAATCTTGCATTAATAATGTTTAGTAGTTAATAATAAATCTTATATTATTAATGTCGCCCACCAGTGCCCGAGTGGATAAAACCACTGAACTAGTCGGTCGTGGGTTCGCACCTCGCCAACGGTCTGGCTATGTGTTTTCTTCATGTTAGAAACCTAATTAGGGACCACAAAAGTCCTCCCGGGAGGGAATCCCCTCGGCAGATCACCCATGTGTCGCGTTGCCATGAAGAAATAAACCGAACCAATCATACCAAGTTCTAGGTACTACAGATTGTTTCCAACATGCTTTTACTTCTTTCTCTAGTACCTATTGCGTTAAAATCGTGCTGTTCGTGGGATATCGGGTAATGGATTCGAAATGCTCTTGACACTGAGATTCATTGATCTGTAAATTAATCCTATGTAGAAAACTCATTATTCCCTTAGCTCAATCCGATCACATAGCTTACTGGCTTTTTAATAACTTCTGCCACTGCATTTTGTCTGTTCTAGCTATCTGTATAATCGAGGGTAACCTTTTAATCACTACTTAGATGTTATACTTTTTCGCTAATGGTGTTGTCATCCTTGCTATAGTTTTGTTCGACATTATACAGCACTTTTTTTTACTTCAATTGTAGTTTAGCCTTTTATGTCTATCTGTTTGATTTAGACAAGCATTCGCCAACCTCTGTATCACTTTTTGCATCGATTATTAATCTGATCCCTTGTTTTCTGTGTCAACTGTAAGTTGAGTGAGAGACTGCTTTTATCAGTAAGGCTATATTATACTACCAGTTCACGAGCTATGAAGTCATTGGAATACCGGTAAATACATGTATCGCTGTTATAAAGCTTTCTACACACTTTGATACAATACTGCTTTTTTTGCTACAAAAACTGTTACATCCAGAAAGTTCACTTCCTATGAAGTTTTCTGATTCATTTCCAAACGAACCACTACCTGAAAAATCCTGGAGTTCTTTCGATCCAGTCTGGATTCGACTACGGGTCCCCAGAGCAGTAGGCTGCAGTTTTGACCGCTCGGCCATCCTGCCGTCCCGCTCGTTATTTATAAAATTGTTTATTTCAGAAGAAATTTCCATTTATTTTTTGGTAAACTAAAACTTTGCATAAGTAAAAGATTTCACAACTCGCAAACTCTTTGAGATAAGGTTCTCTTCCCTTAATATCGCCCAAAACAGTGATCCGATTTTCCCGAAAATTTCTAGAAACATTTCCACCTAGTACACAAACACCCTTGCAAAACTTCAGAAAATTTTGACAAACGGCACAGGAGTTACTAAGCTTCAAAGTGGGTAACAAAATTCATGCTTTCACATATGCATACAGAAAAACATCCAACTTTTTTTTTCTGCATTTCTCGACGTTTCAACGTCTCGTGAGTGCAAAAATGTAAAAGTATTGGTAATACAAAAATATTAATTCTATAATTATTTTTATACTTGACATATTTCTTAGAATGTTGTTGATATATCTTAAAAAATAAACGAGATGATGGTTTTCGAATTAAATTTTATTATTTTTAATTTTGAAAACGAAATAACAATTAAATATAATAAAATTTAATTCGAATCCGATTCTGAGTCAAACAGATATTTGAAGAAAATATCTGCTTCTATTTTCTGAAATGATTTCATTCCTATATACTTATTTTCCTCTAGATATTTTATGAAATTCTTTTGAATCGTTCTAACTGCTTCGTCTCTGTTTATCATTAACAACACTCATTTTGTCGATAATGGGAAATTCGTTTAGAATTTTAAACTTTTTCATAAAGTGATTACTTAATTTCTCGTAAATATGGTCAATTATCCATTCTGCATTTTCGTTTTTTTCATCTTCTCTCGTTTCATGTTTTATCAATGCCGTCAATACATGAACGCAGTGTATTTTATTTCCATGATAGACGGGAGGGTCAAAGCTTCGTCCGTTTCCAGAGCAGACACTTCCCCCCCGAATTATGGAACCTAGAAATTTTGGTAATGCTTTCAATGAAATCCAATAAGTCGCTTTGGGATCGAAATGTGACCATATTCTATAAAAATCATCCACAACCACGCCAGAAATTACTTTTTTTGGATGCTTCGTCTTCTTCGTAATAGTCCAATATGACGGCAACAAACATGTTCATCAGAATTATATTACATATAAAGATGTAAGACATACATAGTAGTCAAAGTATATATTCCACAATTGCCGTACGGCAAATTATTAAAATGTATATCACATTTCGGAGGACTCATAGTAAGATTTTCCAAAATATTAGCCCAACCGTAAGCTGTCAGCAAGCAAAAGAGAATGAAAATTGCCAAAAGAATGTTGTTGAAATTAAACATTCCGTCGAACGTATTGTATTTCCTTGTACAGTACGTCACCGAAAAACGAAACTCCGAGAATTTCTTGCATTTCTGATGTTGATTCCGGTTGATTATAAAATACATACTCAAAATTAAAATCTGAAATATTACTATTGCAGATAGCATGGATTCGTGTAATCCATGGGGCTGTTATCGCCCCATGCGGGAGTTTTTCCATGTTTGGGGGCGATTAGTAGCAATTTATATTTTAGGGAGCGAAAAGCAATTTTCTGGGCGTATAGTAAAACATTATATTAAGAATAATTAGATATTTTATTCGTTATATCGTACATAATTAAACAAATAACATTATACAACTAGTGACTAGTCCAGGGGTGGCCAACTGTTTTTGCTCCTGGGCCGAATTGGAAAGAAAACTTTTTCACGGGCCGTACCAGAGGCTGCCCTAGGAAGATTTTGAGCAGGTTCGAGATCTCATTGTGGTGTCACCCCGTAGAGACTAAATTATACTGTACATAGAGATTATAAATATATTTTTCACATTATAATGCTTTATCAACATTCTACGCTGTACTTAAGAGATTTTTAATGGAGGGTTAACTCTAAACACACAGTGAGTTGTTGATCTTTTTCTTTTTTAGGCGTCAGAATGTCTCACCGAGCCATTCGGACTTGAGTAGCTAATATTGAAAAATTAATCGCGGACCACATAGATTCATTAGACGGGCCGTATGTTGGCCATGCCTGGACTAGTCTATTCAATTTACGAATTTGGAGTTAGCCTCGGCTTGGCATCGGAATTTTGAAGCTTGCAGCGGGGATTCACAGCGAATAATGTTGACATTAGATTTCGCTCGTGTGCGTCTGCGTCGAGGCTTGTGTCGGTAGCAGTAGGAATCATACAACTGGTTGACTGAGTTGAGTTTTTTGCTTATTTTATTTTTGATGTTTTAATAATGTAAGTAAAATGTTAATAAATCAAACTAAACATAATATGTATAGTTTGTGCGACGAAGGAATAAACATAACCTTAAGATACAATTTTAATCGAAATAACAGTTTATATGTGTAATGTGAGATTTTTAAGTAAAAGTATTTAAATTTAAAATATAATAATTAAAAATATTAATGATGATTAAAGACAAAGCGCAGACTATATAAGAAGAAAAGAAAAGAAATAAAGTAATAAAAATATAAAAAAATAGTTTATTAATTTTACTTATTATTAATTTTTTGTTATAGAGCAAACCGAAGTGTTCAAACAAGTTTGATATTTTTGCTTTTATCGTCGTTCACACATAGAAAAAAAGATGGCAAGGACTCTTGCTCGACTTTCTCTGCACTCGAACAGGAGTTTACGAGGATCATTAGGAAAACCGTTAATTTTTAATTATAACAGGATATAAAATTTAAGTAATAACAAAAACTTAAAAGGAGTAATTTTGTTGAATTATAATAAATATTTTTTAAATGGAAATTATTAAGTTTAAAAAACAATTGTATATAAAATCATTTTAATCGGTGTTGGTTGATTTTCTAACAGCAACTCTAAGTTATTACTTAAAACTTTATTGTAGTATATTCTTAAATAGATTAGGCCTATACATCATATGCATTTCAGGCTGTTGTGAATTCACAGACCCTCTTCAATGATGTCTTTAAGAGAGACAAACAATGTTTAAAACTCCGGTACACATTCAATGTTTCCGTATAAATACAATTATAAAACTTTATAATTATTACATTTAGTCTTAAGTTACTGTAGTTTTAATTTTTTATATATAACTTGCAAAGATATAGATTAACTGGTTACAACGGCTTGCTTGCATAGCTGAAATAAATATTTCTACTGTAACATTTATTAAAAAGGACCAT